AGTTGTGGGTGCTGGAGGGACATCACAGTGGGAGGAGGCGATGAGTTGCGTGGTTTTTCATTGCTGTTCTTGGCTTTGGTCATGGGTTTGCTGACAGCACATGTGGAGAGCATTCTGTGGTGTGTGTCCCTTTGAGTTTTAGCCACACACGCGCAAGGTACGCACTTAGTCTCATGGACTTGCTGGGCTCCATGTACCAGGACATGGGGTCGGGTGGGGCTTCTCATCTGTCAGGTCCTGTTAGCTGTTTTGGGGACCTCCAGAATATTTCTGGCTTTCTAGTCCTTGGAAAAGTGTTATGACTCCACATCTACACATGATAAAGATACTTTAAAAGTAGCTAAGTTGTTCCATTGTAGAAATTAAAAAAAAAAAAATCCAGCTACATGAACCACTGAGAAGTCAATCAGCTTTAAACAGAATCCCGGTGACAATATCTCACATATAATTTGAAAAATACCGTGTCTCAAACAACTTATCTAGGGCTGAATACAATATATTCTAACTTCAGAAGTGGCACTAATGATAAGGAATTTATTGTGAAGAGTTTAGCTAAAATAGTTGCATGAAATGTGGAAATGAGATGAAAACCAGACATCGCACTGAAATTAGTGTATCTTGCCTCACAGGGTATTTAAAGTCTGTGTTCCTAACTAAATTATAATTTAAATATTATAATGAAGCATGAACATTTTACCATTGATAAATGAATTCCATGTTTAGATTATTAATAAGACGTGATTAAAATTTAATAATTAGATGCATTTCATTGGCAGCCTGATTACATTTTTACTTAGAAAAAGTATGTTGTGACTCAGGCAATACAAGATCCTTGAATGAAGGATTTTTTTTTTTTTGGGCACATCGGTCTACCGATGTGTCTATCTTCCATGCCATCAAAGATTACAAGAATGCTAGGGCAAAGACAGTGTGTTTTTCATACCGTGTTGTATCTCCACTGAATAGCATAGCACCCTGGATATAAGAACTCAGTAAAGGTTGATTTTTCAGAATGCAGCTTTTAAAGGGCATATTGGTCCATTTTGTGCTGCTATAAAAAGAATACAGTAGTTCTCCATGATTTTGCTTTCTGTAGTTTCCATTATTCACAGTCACTTTGGGTCTGAAAATATTAAGTAGAAAATTCCAGAAATAAACAACTAATAAGTTTTAAATTATGCTCCTTGCTGAGGAGTGTGATTGAACTCTTGCTCTAACCACCTGTGATGTAAACCATGCCTTGGTTTAAAGTGTGATGCTCACCTGTGAATCACTTAATAGGCCCCTGTGTTACCAGATCCCCTGTTGTGGAATTGCCGTGCTTGTGATCAGGTAACCTCACTGTACTTAGTAAAAGCCTCAAAGCTCAAGAGTGTGTATGGGGAAGAGCACAGTATACATAGGGTGTGGTGGTGATTTCTGGTGTCCATGGAGGATCTTCGAATGTATTCCTCTTGTTGTAGATCAATACAGTCTTGGATGGTGGTTGGTCAATCGCTATTGCAAGTGTTTACTGGAAAAAAGTACTCATGAGCTTGAATGATGGCAGAGCATAGGGTGACTTTCATTGTCCCAGTTCATGTACAGGACCCAAGAAGATTTGGGTGAAATTTTTAAGATAGCCCATACTATCCCAACTCTCATTTTTTTTTTCTCCTCTGAGTCTCCAGGACCAAAACCATTTGGATATCACAGTATTCCTCACGACTGGAGCTCCAGGAGCTAAGTGTAGGAGTATTTAAGACATGGGTCTGAACACAGACTCAAGCTGATGTGTGGACAAAGATGGTGTCTAGGCCGCCACACTTCTTTGAGGGGAGGTGATTGTGTTGCCTGCATTCAGACCGCACACACCTCCAGCCTGTTGGCGCTTTCACCCTCTTTGATTTTGGGTTGGCATTGCCCTATCTCTTCTGGCGTTATTGTGGTTACTGGATGTGGTAGCTGAAGGGAAGGGACTGCTGTTGTCAATAGAGAGCTGGATTGCAGTGACAGGAATTAGGAGTGCTTCAAGGTTGCATAAATGTAGTAAATACCAGAACACTCAGGCTTATGAGCTTCTACTAATAGAAAAATTACTTTTTAAAAATTAAAGCGTAGTATGGCTCATTCTACAAAATATGAGCTGAACTTGGGTCCCAAGTTTTTTCCATGTGTAAAAGATGAAGGCGTTTTTATTTCCAAATACGGTGTTCTACCCCAGCCAGATTGTATGGTGAAGATGTTTTGACTTTGAACCGTTGAACTCAAGTGACATTTTCATTCTGGAGGAAGATATATGAAGAAAAAGAAAACACTGCTTTTGATCAAGCGCCTAGACTGTGTCAGCCAGGAGAATAAATGCCCCATTGTTCCACTGAATGACAGCTATTTTCACTGCAAGGTTTTATTTTGTTTGTTTGTTTGGTTTGGTTTTGGTGTTAATATTTTGTTTTGAGATAATCCATGGAGTATTAAGAAATGATCTGGAGAGCTCCTGTGCCTCCACCAATAATAACTGTCCTCCATTAATAACATGGTGCGGAACTGCGGCAGAGAAGCAACCTGGAGACCTGTCACGGATGCTGTCCACTGTGGCTTGAACATCTCCCCCAGAGTTCACGTGCAGGAAATGTGAGCCCCAGTGCAACCATGTCAGGAGTTTGGGCCTCCTGGGAGGAGCCTGGGCCCTGAGGCCTCTGCTCTCGGAGTGGAGGGAGGTGGGTTCTTGCCCTTCTGCCTTCTACCCTGGGGTGACAGAGCCAAAGGTCCTCATCACCTGCCAGCTTCCTGATGTCGACCTCCCACCCATCAGAGCTGAGAGCCAAGTAAACTATGTTTGTAAGTTACCCGGTCTGGAGCTGGGCGTGGTGGTGCACACCTGTACTCCTAGCACTCCGGAGGCTGCGGCAGGAGAATCCTTGTGAATTCCAGGTTGGTCTCAGCTACATAATGAGAGATCAAGGCCAGTCTGAACTACATAGTGAGACCCTGTCTCAAAAAACCAAAAAATAAACGAGCTGTGTTATGTACAAGTACCTACTCTGCAAGATGAATGTAAACTCTATGTACTGTAAATATGCAGTAATAAAATTTTTTAAAAAGCGCCCAGTCTGGCATGCTGTTATATCAAAACTAAAGGGAACAAGCCACACCACTGCCTTATTCAGTTTTCACCAGTTTTCCTTGTGTTCAGTAGTGTATATTTGTTTAATTGTTCTATGTAATCTTACTAGGTACGTAGGCTGCCAGTCCTTTTTAAACGTGACAGGTGAGACATAGATAAGGTACGTGAAGTGCTACAAGTGTAGACATGGTGGGTGTTGACTCTAGATCTGTCTTGCTTTTTCAGTGATAACAACAATGGTGGCTGAGTCTCACTGAGTTCCATAGGGAGCACAGTATTCCTGTAGGACAGGAACTGCTCTCATGTACTGACCATCCGACCCTCCCAGCAGTTACACTGTGTAAGTCCTGTCACAGGGGAGTTAGTGTGTTCACACTCTTAAGTTAGACGGCAAGGCCTAGCTAATTACTTTTGCAACTTCTGAAGTCAGTAGTAAAGTAATGAAATTCCACCATCTTTTTATGTAATTTCACATTTTGACCTTCTGTTTTTTTTTTTTTGTACCAGGGATTGAACTCAGGACCTTGTGCTTAGGAGGCAGGCGTGGTGCCACTGAGCTAATCCCCCAGCCACTAATAAAAATTGCCTTTTTTTCTGGTACAGGAGATCGAATTTAGGACCTTGTGCTTTTGAGGCATGCACAGCACCGCTGAGCTAAATCTCTGACAAACTTCTGATTTTAATCGCTGATCTTGGCAAGTTGTTGAGCACTTCTGTGTGTGTGTGTGTGTGTGTGTGTCTTGAATAGAGTATTTTTTGTCTAACTATGCTCCAGGAATGTTTGAATGTAGTCCGATCTCACAAGTTCTACAGCTCATTTCTTTGGTTGTGAATTATCTCCGATCCTCAGAAACTGGTCGTGCTTTATAAGACAGTAGCTAAACTAATCAGCAGCTGCTCATATCCCCGCTAGGTAAAGATCTCGTACAGCTGTCCCTCTGATGAACAGCAATGCTTATTCAGACCAAAAATAACAACAGCGCCATGTGCTGTCCTTCCCCGGAGGTCTCGGTGTTTTTGTAGACAGCAGACAGAAATAAAAGGAATTTTGTCCTTTTTACCTCACGTAATCCCACTGGAAAATGAAACATGTGCTATGAGTTGATGCTGCCTTCTGCCAGGTCCCCTCCCTGAAGGGTCTTGGGCAAGCACCGCTGTAACATTTCTTGGACATGAGTGTGACGGGCCTGATGGAGATGGATGGGCATGCAGCGTGCTACTGTGGAATACTGCGCTACTGTGTGTGCGAGGGGCCTCCTGCCTAGCGAGAGGGGAGCAGATAAACTCCACACGCCCGGCTCGCAACCAAGTCCCACATAGGGTCCCTTTTGTTTTTTTAAATGGTGGAGTACAATGATGTCACATCAGATATGGTTTATTTTATCTTCCTTGTCAGAACTTCATTTTGGATGTTAGATTTACAAATATTTTTGATGTTCTCACAAGTGTTGATAGGAACTCTTTGGAAACTACAAAACGTTTTTAGTGGACCACTCTATCAATTTTCTGTTCTCCTAAGGAAGTTTTTCCTAGTCATGACTCATTTCACTCTTGGCTAACACTGAAGGAAATGTAATAACAATTAAAGAAAGGAATGTATGTATTTTCTTCTTTCTTTGAAAATGTGTACACATTTTTGGTCTTGGGTTATGTAAACTTGGAAGACTACAGAATGTTGACAAGTATGAAAGGTAAAAACTCGCCTGTTAGTTCATACTTCTTTGGGATTTAAAACTCAGAAAGCTTCCTTTGGTTTGGAGAAGTGTTTTGCTTGATGGCCTAGAACACAAATCCAGTAAAAACGACATGTTCCAGCCATCATTTACACACACCTTAAGGGAAATTAATGAGATCACTCTAAGATTATGCTTTGTGTTTTATTTTCATTTTATAGGTCTGTATGAGCTGCTGGCTGCTCTGCCAGCCCAGCTGCAGCCACATGTGGATAGCCAGGAAGACCTGACCTTCCTCTGGGATATGTTTGGTGAAAAAAGCCTGCATTCACTGGTAAAGGTAAACCTTGCTGCTGTCAGGTTCTCTTTGCAAAAAACATATGGAAAAATATTTTGAGCGACGTCTAGTAAACCAGAGATCAAATTGTTGCTTTCTGAAAACAAAACCGCCTTGTTCCATTTCACTGACGGGCGTGGAAGTTGTTAAAGATTCTACCAAAAATACATAGATGATTTCACTTAATGGTGGTCATCTGGCTGTGCATACTAATGTAGCAAACATGTGGTTGGCCCTGTTTAGAAAAAGAATATGAAATAGTAGCAGGGAAGGTTTAGACTCCTTTATAGTCAACATTCATGAGCTGGAATTTAACTTAAATAAATAAATGTTCACAGCAAAAATTAGAAGGAATATGTTTTCTGAGGTCAAGAATGGCAGCAGTTCAGTAGCCACATTAATTTAAAATAATTTCCTTTAACAAAGTCAACTGAAATTCTAGTAAGCTGTTTCTTGTATTGGCACAACTCCATTGAAGTGGTATTTTGTAGATAAATACAGTACATTGAAACTAAATTTGAATAAAAAACAGTTTTTGGAGACAGTTTTAGTAAAGCATCATGCCATGAAAATGATCAGGCACCAGGAACCAGATCTTGTCTTACAGAAACCCTGGGAGTGATCAGAACTCTTAAAATAGTAAAACGAGAACAAGAAACTTACTGGAAAATATGCCACTTTTGCTTCTGGAAATATGAATTGCATTTGCTCTTATTTGACTTAAGCTGAAAGAAATTTAGAGTCTTCCTCAAGTCTGTAGGGGGTGGAAGGCTATGCCCCTTAAAATCTGGGCCTGTGCTAGTTCAGCTAAATCCGCTATGGTTGTCTGTCACGATGGGAGACTTTTAATTGATGTGTACAATTTGTAAATGAGCCACTGCTGAGCTTCAGTTGCTTTATAGAAAAAAGGAAAATTCTTACGTGCTTTTTTTCCTCCCAATTTACTGAAATTTGTATGCTTTGAGCAGTAACGATTCTCAGGAAGCGAGAGTTGATATGTGGCATTTCTCTGGCAGTATGTTTAAAGACTAGAATGTTTTATTTGTTCATTTATTGTTCACGCATGATAATGTAATTGCCAAGGTATCTCTTTACTCTAAATAGTTTTAGGCAGTTTAGGTATTTGGGGGATTTAGAAATGGTATTGGGATTATAGTTGATGAAGTTTGTGGCTTGAGATAGTCATAAAAATATTTCTGTGTAGAATGTATGGGAGTTGAATAGTTATGGATTAACTTATATTGACCCTTTTGATAGAATGAAACGCAGTGTTTGAATTGATATTATCATCCTTTAATCATTGAAACATGCCCCAAAACAATGGATGCATGTTTATTTGATTTATTTATGACATGGTTACTACCTCATTTTTTTTTAACCTAAAATGGAAGTCAGAATGTCTGTTGGCACAGTTATACGTTTCAGGTAAAACAGTAAAGATCAAAATTCTCCGACAGCTGTATAGGTTAGGCAAACGTAAGTGGGCATTATTAAGTATAAGGAATAATGTAAATATCATAACCTGTGAAAAACCAAAAAGAACTTACAGAGATGGCTGTTTCTGTTAAAAGAACAGAACTAATGTATAAAACAAATTCTGAAGTTACACTGGCTATTGAGTGTTAAGCAGAGGATGCTTCCAAAGTGTTTGTCAGTTACAGGTGATTGGGAGCACTCTGGAGGGCACTGCTGTCTGGTTTCTTAAAATCAGTGAAGCACATAAATAGATGCTACTAGTATTTAGTTAGCACACTTAATGCGTCTGTTGTTCCAAATGTTTTTTCGGAAATTACTATTGAAATGTATTTTAAAAATTAGTTGTGTCGTGTATCTGTAGTATATTTCCAGTGTCTCTACAGTTTTCCCTGCCCTGGCTCTGATCAGATGCAGACCTCAAGAGTGTCCTTCAACTGACCCATTCTATTAGTTTTAAATGTGTAACACCTGAAATGCCTCCAGGAGGCAGGCTCACAGGATTGTAGCTCTAAACGGCTGCAACAAGCCACTTTGCTGTACTCTAGGTACCTCTGTTTAGGGTTGGAGGATAGAAGCTTTCAGCTTTTGTACATAAATTGCGATAGAGCAAAAGGAATTTATTTGAAAAGATTTGTTTTAGAGTGAATCAAAGTGTGCTTTGGTTTTTATGCTCTTTTGCCAGATGTTAAAGTTGTTAGCATGTGATTTAGAACCTGGTGAACACAAAATTTTATTTTATCCTAGCACACAATTTTCATAGTTCTATTACCCCTCTGTAGATGTTTAAAAGGCAGTTGTAAATCACATGGCTTTAACTAATGTGAGTTTGGGATCTAAAGTCAAATATAGTTAGAAGAGGCATTTTTGGCATTGCAGTCTGTGACAGGTACAGCAGGCCACTGGGTGTAGAGCTGTCACTAGAGAGAAACAGGATGGTCTTCAAGGTGATAGCTGAAGAATATTTATAAAAGGAAAACTTTTGGATAGAAAAGTTGAATAACAGCTGTGAACACGAGATGATAAATATCGTAGGAAGATGGTACTGAGAGAGTTTCTGAGAAATATTATGTGTCGGGTGATGAGACACCATTGCTCTGGTGAGTGCCATAGAAGACCACTAAGTGGAGAGCCGTACTTTTGACCACCTTTGCAAATATACTGGAACTGAAGCATGTATTTTATGCTCTAACTCATTTCTAAATTTATCTTTTTCTCTTAGGCATTTGTCCAATTATCTTTTTACTTCAAATTTTATTTAGTTGTGTTCTATTTTTTTTTTTGGGGGGGTACCAGGGATTGAACTTGGGTCCTTGGGTTTGCAAGGCAGGTGGCGAAACCACTGAGCTAAATCCCCAGCCGATTCTGTATATTTTTGTAGCCCCATTTAAGTTCATTTTAGGACAAGATATGGCATAAAGACTTGCTTACATATCATATTTCTTTTTAATTAGTTTGTACTGTTTGCTGAAGAAATTTCTATTCCTAACTCACAGTTGTGTTAGATTTCTAGGTTGAGAGTATCAATTGTGATTATCTTTCAGATGGTTACCTATGTTTCCCTCTGCCCTTTTAAGTAGCTGTGTGTGTATATGTATGTATGTGTCGGTGTATATATATATATATATATATGTGTATACATACATATATATATATATCCAGATATGAAGTTCTAGATCAATATCTATTGTGAATTGTTCAGATATTGCTAAAAATTGTTAAAAGGATTGAGATCATCAGCCTTTCTCTAGTTTCCCCAAGTATTCTAAGATCAGACAGCTAATCTCACCCACACCTCACACACCGAATCACATAAAAATGGAAAGAACTCTTTAACTCCATTTCTCTTTTCTACTCC